GTGGTTCCAGATAAAATCAATGACTTCGTTTTCTCGGACCTTCTCGAAGGCCTGCGCTTTTACCCACTTAGAGAAATAATCAGTCATAAACAGGATAAATTTAGCTTTACCTGTGCCCGTTGGTAGAGGGCTGACTATATCCATCCCCCATTTTATGGAAGGCCATGGGGACAGGACCGAATGAAGTTGTTCTCCGGCTGATGGATCATCGGTGCGAGTTGTTGACACTTATCACATTTTCTGAAAAATTCTTTAGTATCCTTTTCCATGTTGTCCCAGTAGTAATCTGCTCTGATAACTTTGTGAACCAAAGACTCGGCGCCGGAGTGTTCCCAAAAGTTCTTTCATGGATCTCTCGAAGGACATAATCGGTGTCTCCTGGCCCCAAACATACCGCCAACGGCCCATGCCGATCGAACGTTCTCCTATACAATGTTCCATCTTCATTTAATGTAAACCTAGCAGCCTTGGCTCATAAGGCCCTCGATTCTTTGTGGTCCGTTGGGAGTTTTCCATTCTTCTAATAGTTAATATATTTGTTTCTCCAGTTCCATGTCAGGTTTGTTGAATTTATTTCGGCATGACCCTCTTCAAACACGGACCTTGATAATTGGACAACAGTTCCCGGGATGATATCATCTTCTTCAATCGAAGAGCCCAGATTGGCAAGTGCATCGGCCTCACTATTTTACTCTCAAGGCACATGATCCAGAGTCCACTACTTGAAGCGATGCAAGGTTACCTACATCTTATCCAAGTACCGTTGTATCCTATCTTCTCGAACCTCGAAACTTTTGTTTACTTGGTTCACAACCAATAGGGAATCGCACTTGGCCTCGATGACTTCTGCTCCCAAGCTTCTGGCTAGCTCAAGACCTGCAACCACGGCCTCATACTCGGCCTCATTATTAGTTAATCTTGGAGTTTTGATAGATTGCCTAATAATATCACCTGTGGGATGTTTTAAGACAATGCCGACCGGACCCCTTCATATTCGAGGCACCATCCATGAAAAGGGTCCATATACCCGATGATGTACCCGAGTTTAGCAGGAGTTCCTTATCCACTTCAGGTACGAGGGTCAGCATAAAATCGGCCATGAAGTCAGATAGGATTTGGGACTTGATGGCCGTATGGGGTTGATATTCGATATCGTACCCGCTAAGTTTGATGGCCTATTTGGCCAATCGTCCCGATAGCTCGGGCTTATGCAGAACATTTCAAAGAGGGTAAGTGGTTAATACACATATAGGATGACATTAAAAGTATGGTTTTAACTTTCGAGATGTGCTTATCAATTCAAGTGATAATTTCTCTAAGTGAGGGTAATAGTTTCAGCATCTCTTAGAGTTCGGCTTACGTAGTAAACAGGAAATTGCGTACCTTTCTCTTCTCGAACTAGTACCCCACTTACTGCTATCTCGGACACTGCCATGTATAGATAAAGCCTTTCGTCTTCCTTAGGAGTATAAGCAAAGGCGGGCTCGACAAATATCTCTTTAACTCTTCCAAGGCTTGTTGACATTCCGGGGACCATGCGAAATCATTTTTCTTTTTGAGCAAGGAAAAGAATCGGTGACTCCGGTTCGACGACCTCTAAATGAAGGCAGCTATTCGCCCTGTCAGCCTTTGCATGACCTTCACACATCCTTAATCGTGATATCCTCGATAGCCTTGATCTTATCGGGATTGATTTCGATACCCCGATTTGATACCACGAATCTGAGGAACTTACCCGAGCCAACTCCGAAGGCACATTTCTCCGGGTTAAGCTTCATGTTATATTTCCTTAAAATTGCTAATGTTTCCTGCAAATGTACTAAATGGTCCTCTTCGCACAAGGACTTAACCAACATGTCATCAATATAGACTTCCATTGTTTTTCCTATTTGTTCTTTAAACATATTGTTAACTAGGCATTGGTATATAGCTCCTGCGTTTTTTTAGTCCGAAGGGCATTACGTTGTAACAATAAGTTCCAAACTTAGTTATAAACAAAGTCTTTTCCTGGTCCTCCGAGTTCATCTGAATTTGATTGTACTCGGAGTAGGCATCGAGAAAAGTTAGGGTCTCGTGGCCAGTCGTGGAATCGATCATTCGGTCGATGTTTGGCAATGGGAAAGAATCTTTCAGACATGCTTTGTTCAAGTCCTTTTAATCGACACACATTCTAAGCTTATTTCCTTTTTTAGGAACTACAACTACATTACTTCTCGAATGGATCCTATTAAGGAGTTTGGTTACCTCGTCTTTTATGAAGGCATACTTTACCTCGGACTGAGGTCTCCTCTTTTGTTTTATTGGTTTGACCCTAGGATCGGTGCTCAATAGATGCGTGGTAATTTCTGGCGGGATCCCTGTCATATCTAAGTGGGACCAAGCAGAGCAATCCATATCGTCAATAAGAAATTGAATGAGTTTTTTCCTGAATTCGGGGGTTAGTCTCGTTCCCAGGTATACCTTTTACTCGGGCATGTATTCGATCAAAATGACCTTCTCCAGTTCCTCGATAGTTGATTTTATCGTATCAGATTCTTCGGGAACAACGAAGGTTCGAGGAGTAAGGAAGTCCTCATCTTCGATCACCTATTTCTTTGACTCCATCGAGGCTGGAGGCGGTAATTGCTATTTGGCGGCCTGCTTGTCTTTAAGGCTAGAATTCTTCGAGGTCGGAGGCTTTGTAATCGGTCCTACTTCCTCAATCGCGAACATTTTTTTTGCAGCATGTTGCTCCCCGTAGACCATTTTTATCCCTTCCTCTGTTGGGTACTTCATCATCTAGTGAAGGGTTGAAGGCACTGCCCTCATGTTTTGTATCCATGGTCTCCCGAGGAGTGCGTCATACCTCATATCACCTTTGATGACATGGAACTTCGTATCTTGTATGGTCCTGGCTACGTTTACTGGCAAGATGATCTCTCCATTTGTTGTTTCGATTGCCATGTTGAAGCCATTTAGTACTCGGGATGCAGGTACCATCTGACCTTGTAGGCCGAGTTATTCCACGACCCTCGACCTGATTATATTTGTCGAGCTACCTAAATCCACTAAAACACGTTTAACTTGAATTTTATTCAAAAGGATAGAGATTACCAGGGCGTCGTTGTTAGGTTGAGATATGCCTTCTGCTTCCTCGTCACAGAATGATAAGATGTCCTCGGGCACATAACCCCGAATCCATTTTTCCCTGGTGATCGATAGTTTGGTACGCTTGAATATAGGTCGTTGAGGGACATCGACTCCGCCAATATTCATGTGGATTACATGTTGTGGTTTTTCTTGCTCAGTTTTCCTTGTATCTCTCTCCCTGAAGTGATTCTTAGCCCGATCACTTAGAAATTCTCGAAGGTGGCCTTCGTTGAACAACCGAGCCACTTCTTCCCTTAGCTGTCTGCTATCTTCTGTATATCCATGTGTACCATGATACTTGCACATCAAGTTCGGGTTCCTTTGGGAAGGATCGGTCTGTATTGGCCTGGGCCGCCTGGTGTCTTTAATTCTCCCAATACCGGAGACAATCCCAGATGCATCGACACTGAAGTTGTATTCTGATAATCGAGGAGCTTCTGTGGGGTCGGAATGTTTTTCAAAACCTCTTTTGCTCATGAGTCCCCGAGAGCATTGACCTCGATCATTTCTTCGATCACTCCGAGGAATGTTGCGGCTCGGGCCACTGTTCTTTCTATCGGCATATGGCTGATATCGCTCTTTGTTGAATCTCGGTTCCTGGTCTGTGTCCCTCGAGGGCTTGACTGCGAATCTGTTAGGATACACTGAACCCGAGGGGGCTCCCAACTGGTCGTCCTCGACTCTGATCTTTGACCGATAACGATTGTGCACATCCGACCATGTCACAGCAGGATATTCAATCAAATTCTGCTTTAACTGCCGAGAAGCGATCGAACTCCTTTCATTCAGAACTTGCATAAAGGCCTGTATTGCCCAGTCATCGAAGACCGTAGGTAATTCCATTCTTTCCATCTGAAGTCGGGACACGAACTCCCTCAGCATCTCGCCGTGCCTTTGCTTAAATTTGAAGACGTTCGATTTCCTTGGCCCCGACGTGGGATTAACGAAGGCGTCAGGTTGATTGTCAATTAGAAGAGCGAGAACAAAACCTAAATAGTCATTAGTCATCTAGATGAAATAAAACTACCACATAGATCCTTGGGTTAGGGATGCGCATATTTCGAGTAAAATCGATAACTCGAATTAAAAAAAAATATTTTTATTTTATCGATATTAAGTTATTAGTTTGCGCAGTAACAATTTAACGTTATAATGATATGATCCATTTGATTTTCTTGAATTACAAACTTTCGAACATTGTTATCACTAATCATTAGATTATACAGTCAACGTTAGTCTTAGTTACATTATCTTTATACATTTGAGATAAAAGGATTACTATTATTCTCTTTGTCTTATTCCTACAAAGGTTAGATTGATGATTTATTTTTTAGTCTATTTCAAAAAAAAAAAAAATTAAATTTAATAAGTAATATTTAATTTATAAGTAGGAAAAGTAAAATACTTGCCTTTGATGTAAGATTCCATTATTCTCACTAAACCATTCTTTTTCTTTCAGTAATTCGAATTTCTAGAAAAAGTAAATAAATGAAAACTAGGAAAGAGGTCTTGAGTCGGTTTAGGAGCTTTCCAACTCAATTAAGGATTCTAATTCCTAATTAAGAGGGTTTTTATCTCTATAAATACACTCATTATATTCTTCTCCCAAATTCTCACATCAATTCACATAATTTCCTTCTCCTTCTACTTTTGCTCTTCTTTTTCAAAAAGAATTTGTTTAATTTTTTTTTTCAAGTATGGCAATTCTCTCTGAGTATACTGAAGAAAATCAAGAACAACCTATGAAGTCTATCGAAAAAGAACAAGAAAAATCTTCTTCTTCAGCACCAAAAGAAAAAGAAAATTCATCTTCACGCCCAAAAGAAGAAGAAAACAAGAAACTAAAGCCAAACAAGTCCAATGGTCTTGACATGAAGAATTATTCATGGGGACAATCTCTTCAAGAAGTTACCATCAATGTCCCAGTTCCCCCTGGTAAGATTTTTCAATAGTTTATACATTAAATTTTTTTGTATTTACTGTTTTTTATTCAAAACTTGAATTTAAATATAAAAAAAGTTTACATTTGTAACCGTTTCTTTGGATGGTTGTTGCGTATTATATCATATTGTATTGTTATTTTAAATATAATATTTGTTTTGATTGTTATTTTAGTTTTATTGTATCATATCTTACATCCGTTGTTACATAAGAATATTGTTACCTTACTTTTGCTTTGTCCTAAGTTCTTTTACCCTTCATCCTAACTTTTAATGATTACGCTACCAGATACTTTACTTTTTCTTTATAATATTGTACGCCTATTTTTTAAATGTTGGAGTGTGAATTTATGAGACGGTAAAAAAGGATACAATCTATTCAAACATTATATAGATTAAAACAATACAATATAATACGATACAATACATTAAGAAACGATACATAACAACCATCCAAACAAAATGTAAGTTATTGTAGGTCTTTTAATCTTACCTTGTGTTATTTTACTTTTTATCAGGTACAAAATCAAGATTCTTGGTTGTTGAAATCAAGAATAATTCCCTCAAAGTTGGACTCAAAGGTCAACCATTAATAATAGATGGTGAATATTTCAAATCAGTGAAAGCTGATGAATGTTATTGGAGTTTAGAAGATCAGCAAGAAATTTCAATTCTTCTAACTAAACAAAACAAATCTGATTGGTGGAAAAGTTTATTCAAAGGTGGACCAGAAATTGACACACAAAAAGTAGAACCAGAACCTAGTAAATTGTCTGATTTGGACACAGAGACAAGGGCAGCAGTTGAAAAAATGATGTTTGATCAAAGACAAAAGCAGATGGGACTTCCAACAAGTGAGGAAATTACAAATCAAGATATGCTTAAGAAATTTATGGAACAAAATCCTGATATGGCTAAAAATTTTGCTAATGCTAAGATGATGGGCATGGGCTAATTGCATGGAAATTCACTACTAAAAATCAGGAATTAGAGACGGACAAATTCTGCAGTCTAACAAAAAAATTCGTCCGAGCGATTTAGCGACAAAATTCATAGCTAATTCTATTTTTTGGTAGTGATTTTATTTTTGCTGATTTTTTTTTAATCTCTAGTTGATTTAGTTTTTATTTTATTTTATTATTGTAGTATGAGAGATTGGAATTATGGCTGGAGTGTTTCTTTGGATTTCCTAGGGCTTTATTACTTGGTCAATGCTTAAATTAATTAATCTTAATTTTTTTCCCTATTGATTCATTTTAGTTTTGGAATTTGATCCTATGATGAATTTATTTCGACTATTTCTCTTGCTTGATTTTCTTCTTAATGTCTATTAGATTCATATTTTTTTATACTAGTATGAGAGATTGGAACTATTGTTGGAATTTTTCTTTGGATTTGGTGTGGCTTTATTGTTTGGTCAATGCATAAATCAATTACTCTTAATTTCTTCGATGATTCATATGATTAGTTTTGGAATTTAATCTTGCGGTAATGTTAGTATTAACTTTTCTTTTGCTGAATTGTTTTTTCATCTCTACTAGGTTTAGATTTTTTTTCTTCATACTAGGGTAGGGTAAGAACTTGGAATTGAATGGTAACCTTGGAGCAACGGTAGTTATCTCTAAATGATATATCGGTCACAGGTTCGAGCCGTGAAATCTATCATATGTTTCCATCAAGTTAAGATAGATTTGATAAAACATCATCTTTATAAACAATGCATAGCGAGGAAAACAAATAAAAAGAAGTGGTTACTATAATTTATTCAACGCATACATATTTCAAAATTCTACTAAGGCATCTTGCATATTTTCCCATAAAACCAAAATCATGAGATTTGAAGCTGATAACTCATTAAGCATAAAATTAAGAAGAATAACTCAAATAGCCGTCCACCTAATCGTTTAAGCCGCATACCTAATCGCTTAAATTAAAAATAGCCCGCGGATATATCATATATGTATAATTCATGTATCATATGTGTATAACTATGTATAATCATTATATCTAGCCAATTAGTGTTAAAATCCCTACAATTATAGCACATTCACTAAGGAAGAAGAAGCAAAATAACCAACACCATATTTTATACTCAATCCATGAAATCTCATAAAGCATGTATAGAACCTCATATCTTGAAAATGCTACAATTTCATGAATTCCCTAAGGATTTACTATATATCTTACTGGTTCACTTGCAATAATTATTATATAATCTATCTATGCCGGCTAAAAAAAATAATATTAAATATGGCCGATTACTTGTGTTAAAATCCCTAAAATTAAAGCACATTCACTAAGGAAGACGAAGCAAAATAACCATAGCACCATATTTTATACTCAATCCATGAAATTTCATAAAGAATACAACATCATATATATCATGAAAATGCTACAATTTCATGAACTCGCTAAGGATTTGCAATATATCTTACTGGCTCACTTGCAACATATTTTACTGGCTCACTTGCAATATATCTCACCGGCTCACTTGCAACATATCTTACTGGCTCACTTGCAATATATCTCGTTGGTTCACTTGCGACATGTCTACTTGAGTCATCATCCCATACGAAGAGCTCACATTTACCTGCAAGCAACATACACATTCCTTCTTCATGTACTCTCCAATTACATACCTCATTAGTGTGACATATTTCAGTGTCATTAAAATTAAACAAGTCGAAAAACCCGTGTTTATTCCCTAATTTAATGGCACAAGAAAGAGTGTTATTTCCTCCTTGAACAATAGGTATATAGAATTTATCAGTCCATCCTGGTTTCATCGAGTAGTCGCCACGATCTTCTCCATATATATAACATCTCGCTTCTGCTGTATTTGGAGTTTCATTTTTTATAATAACAACAAAATCACTAGTTGAGTTTTGTGAATTAACAGATGAAATTGCTAAAAAATTAAGTAGGAAAAGGCAAAGTATTAAGTGATGTAATGAGGAAGACATGGTTATTTTTCTTCCTTCTTATATTTGGTTTAGTTTTTTTTTTTTTAATGTGACCAAATTTATAGTGATTTATGTGAGATATATGAATATTGGATCAACTACTTCATTAAATGTAATAATGATAATATTTATCTTTTTATTGATACTGTTTGACACGGTCTTACCAACAAGTCTTACCAACTTGGAGATTTTCTATGACTAGCTTCAATTTAAGTAAAGGATTTTTAATAAATTTTGTCGTTTTCTTTCTGTTAAAATAATGCAGAAGGAAGAAGAAATCAAAATTTTTGTAAGTAAAATCCGAGTGATAGATCATGTATTTATATTCGAAAGGTTGGGTGATACCGAAGAGCTGCAACTCTTTCTTATAAAGGCTGTAACTTAAAGTGGTTGTTTTATAAAAAGGCTAATCATGCAAACCGTCAATTTCAAATTTTAACAAGAAAATCAAAACGGAGGAAAGTCAAATTACTGTTACGGAAACGGTTAATTTGGATTACAAAATATTAATTTAATTTTAAATATATTTTTAAATATAGATTACTAATAATTTTTATACTATCAGTAAATTTTAACATATATTAGCAGATAATTTACTTAATTTTCATGTTTTAATCTATTTATTATGGGCCATTATTTGTAGTAATATTTAAGTGACCTGATATTGTAAAAATTCTTTCATATTGTCAATGTATAGAAATTTAATTTGAATATAAGAAAAAGTTCAACTAACTATTAGTGTTGGCTTATTAATTTACGCACTTTATTCGGAAACTAGAAATTATATTATGCTAAAGGAGGGGAAACTTTGTCGAATTTAATTAACATTTTGTTGTTTGGTTTAATAAAGCAAAAAACACAAAAGGAGATTCGTAGTGACATAAAGACAGATCTAAGAGTTATTCTTCAGCTAACAGTCAAAGAAATAAGCAATTAATTTATAAAGAGTGAAGAGTGAATTTTGGCCGTGTAGAATTATAAATGGATGGGTAAAGATGAGAAGAGGGTTAACTATTATTTTTACTAATATAAGTTTTATACATCGATAGTCGTAAAAAAATTTATATTATCAATAAATTTTAATCCTATATATGATAGCGCGTTAACTAATTATATTATGAAACTTGTCACACCTCCTTTTTGCGCGCCCGCCCCCGAAGGGTTAAATGCGCGAGTGAGTTTTTCCAATTTAAGTGACAATATTCGAAATGGANTTAAATAAAAACTAAACACCATTAATTAACACTTAATGTAATTATTACACGCATATTAAAATGTGAGAAAGTAGGTAAAATTAAACAAGGCAACAAATCAGGACAAAAATGCATTTTTTATGATTTTCCATTTAACAACCGGATTACGGTTCAAATTACGCATGACACACACATTTTTTTTTAATTTTATTTTAATAAAATAAAAATGGGCAAAAATCATAAATAATTAACAAAATGCCACGTAAACATCCAAAAATTGTACATCAAGACCAATTGCTATTGTTTCGTTTCTTTTGGAGTGATTGTCGCGTAAAACAAAAATCACGTGCTCACAAAACTTATCATAAAATTTTACCTATAATTTTAAGAAATGTCATTTGTGAAATATGTCATCCAAATTGAAACGGATATGTGGAGTAGGATTTATTGTGGAATATTTATTTTTGTTTAGTCAAACAAATACATACATATAGAAGTGAACCCAAAATTTAAAGTTTATGGGGTCTAAATTTTTTTACAGAACTCATAGCTCGTGTTAGTTAATAGATTCATAATTAAATATTTATATATATTTAATAAATTTTTTTAATATTTGTTTAAGCAAAAAAAACTGAGTTCGGCCGAACCCACACCCAATAGGCTAGCTCTCCCCATAGTTGATTATATGTATTAGTCTAGTGTCAAATTTATTGTTTTCTATCGAGCTTAAGTTTACTGATTGTGTGTAAATTTGTTTATATTATCAGGTCAAAGTGACTCACAATAACAAATTGAATAGAAAGTTTGATAAGGTAATGTGAAAAAATAGAGTAATTATAACCTATTTTAAGCAGTTAATTAAATTACTTTGATAATGTAAATTTTCTTTTAAAGTTGTCCGCATATATAACCTAAATTGTTTTCTTAGTTTTTTGGGACTTTTGTGATGTTAGGGTAATTTGATCTTTCCCTCCTATTTCCTTGAAGTAAATAAATAACCAAACACAGGAGTCATTTCGAAGAACTAATAGAAAGAATCAAATTACATTTATATCTTTATCTTAAAAAAAAAAGTAGTATAAGTCTTAAGATTCTTGCCCAACCAATAAGGGTTGTGGTAGATTGGAAAGTACTCCTTTATCTTTAATTAGAGGTTTAGGGTCCGAGCTTAGAAGCGGACCTACACTATAAGTTGAGGGGTCACGAATACCTGGAAACTTCGGCAAAAACTCCATATATACTTACAAATGTCTTCAAAAAATAGTAAGATATTAGCATAGGCCCCGTACCAATTGAATGTCATAGTATTCCCGCGACCGCCAAATTCTGGGTTTGCCTCCGCATATGCAGTGGCGTACGCAGAATTTTTCATAAGTGGTGTCACTATTTCTAGTAAAAGGGCCGTAACAATCAAAAAATATTTTGTGGAGCCAAGAGAGTTCAAACCCAAGACCTCTCACATAATACTTGAAGCTAACAACCACTAGACTACTGAGATATTTTGTTGCAAGTGGTGTTACTTTTAATAGTTTTATCTTGTATTTCTGTTTTACTTATTATTTTTATATATATAAATAGTAAAAATTTCGACGAAGCAGTGTCCTGTGACACCGCTTGCCAGCATGTAAATCCGCCCCTGTGCATATGCACAATTCAATTGAGCAAGACTTTTAAGTTTGTTTTGTTTCTCTAGTTAGGAAGGTTAGTATTCGGGCAACAACTTATTTTTTTTTTTGGTTTCTTAAGTTGTTCGATACTTACATTGAAATCTGATTAAATTCGAATACTCGTTGGGAAATTCCATATTGGCGATAAAACGTTCACTAATAAAGATAACTATATACCCAAGCATATGTATGCAAAAGAGTTTCATTTCACAATCAGAGAAATTAAAAAAATAGAACTAATTGAATAAAGTGCTACCTTCTGTGATTTCACATGCATGCATATATATTTTATGCAAAATGTTGAATTCCAAGAAGCTTATTATGATTCCACATCCTGTGTAGTAAAATGGTAATTAAATTTTTTTCCTCTCAATATTTTCTCATACATAATTCAATGTTGTGTATAAATTATGG